CGCGCTAGTTCCGCGCTAGTGAATTAACGACAACTTCGTCGCTTGGCACTACTGGCCCAGTCCTGTGTCATGGAAGATTACCAACTATCCTAATATGTTCCTGTCTAGACCCTTCATACTACCAGGGCCGCGCATAGTTAACCCCTGTTATATCTTGGGCTATCTTGTGTTCTGTCTTGGGTGAACTCAACTTATAAGTTGGTATAACTTCTGACTATAGTTGCGGAAGTTAACCTGTGTAACCACAGGTGGCCGGATTTACGCCCCTACGGTTTTTGACTGTTTTTTACGCACCTTTTGTGGGCACGTGTAAATTTACGCTCTTTAGGGTTTTTAGGCTTTTATCATATATGTATATATACACATGATAATATTATATACATATGTGATTATATTCCACTACATAGTATCCTGGATTGATATTAACAATACAAGCAACCTAAGACGGCTACAAGCAGGTACTTTGTTGAACCCCCCGCAAATCCTGGAACACCCTTGACTCTGAGGCTTATGTAGTAAAACCCTTGCTTTCTCGGGCTTATGTAGGGCGATCGTTCTTAGGGTTGAGTAACAGGATTTGCAAATGTGGGAATGCAGCATCATGATTTTGGGAAGGATTTGAGAGCTGTTGCAGCCCGGATCGAGACCAATTATCCGACATCGTTATCCAGAAAATGAGGAACTTGCAATCATTCGGAACATTCCTCAAAGTCTATCATCTACCACGAAAGCCCCCAAAAGACCCTCGAAGCCCCAAAAAAACCCTCGAACAGCCCATTGGACCATTGGACCATGGCATTTCCACTCCTGCGCACTCTGCTGCGGTGGCTGCACAACCAGGCTCGGCCCTTCTGGAGCTGGGATTCGAGCTACAATAATCAAAAGCTCCTCGCATTAAGGTGCTATAAGCAAAGTTTTAAGGAGTTTTGGGGGTACTTACACACCAGTAGCTCACCCTTATACACACCAGTAGCTCACCCGCTCACCCTAGCAAGCCAAGCTTATCGGCCAGGATGGCCATGTATCTGCGCAAAACACGCGACTGAGGCGTTCTAGGTGAAACCCGGCGCAATAGTCGAGCCACGTGTCCGATGAAATCCTCACATTGGCTGGTACAGTTCCCGACAGGATTGTAGACCAGGGAGGTGCTGGAACACTCAGATGCTCTTCGTAAGCTCTCCATTATGTGGTGAAGGTAGTGCAGTTTGGGCACCAAGTTAAAGAGAAGGCGGCGATGGTCCAAAGACCATGCCACCAGGCGCGAGTAGCACAATAAAAATCTGTAACCGCATTCGGAAGCTTGCATCGCAGAGGTCTTGGGCATGAAAGCCCCTTCTGAATAAAGCGTGCGCATTGCCGTTTCCATAGAAACGGAACCTTCAACCAAGTATTTCCAGGGCTTTTCCGAAGTAGGGAGCGAAAGCTTGCCTCGCTGGAATTTATGAACCGATCAGGGCTGATTACGGGTTTAGAGATCGAGGGCCTTTAATGGGTTTATAGTTAAAAAGAATAATTATAAAATTTAACCAAAAAAGACATACAAGCCTTAAGGCGGGAAAAGTATTGGGGCCCCCCATCAGGATTTAGAATAGAGTCGGGTCCAGAAAACTTCCGAAACAAGATAACCCCACCCTATTACATCCCTTTTAAACTACAACCCGATATAAACCCTAAACCGAGCAGGAAGCAAGCCACGGAGCAGCCACGGCACAAAGCCCATCAAAGTCACCGAATCCTGTCCCTTGTTCCAGCCACCACAGGCATATGTGTTGGGAGTTTTTGCACCAATCAGCTCCAAACTGAGCTTTGCCAGATGTAGATTCGTCTTTCGTTCCTTGCAGTACTCATGGAGATATCGGTTCATCCGTGTCATGTTGTCATCATTGGAGGTTCCACCACAATGCGGCAGCAACATGCAAAGTCCACTGGCCGCATATTCCTTGTATACCCCCATCTGCAAGACGTGGAAGAGGTCCGGTTTCAGGAAGCTCGGTTGATCAGGATCGTGTGGGATTGCTCTCAAGATTGAAGGCGGAACAGTCCACGGCAGTGGGTTCCGGGCCCCGGCAGTTTGCATCCAACCAGCAGCTTTATCAAAGCATTCAAAGGGAAATGCCTCCGTTCCCGCCAAACACCACGGGCAGCATCCGTCGAGCGCTTTCGATTTCGAGGTTTTGGCCTTCTTACGAACACGGGTGAAGGATCGCAGTAGGTTAGCTGCCTTCGCTTGGAAGACTAAGTCCCCCTTGAGGCCCAACGGGATAAACCGCCAGACCTGCCCCTGGAACTCATAGCCATTCGTCCACAGATCCCCAAACCAGTCCGAAATACATCCGAGGAGGGACTGAAGAGGAGCAGAATCCTCGATGTAGTGCTTCTTCAGTAGCACACTCATCAGATACCTTGTAGCCAGACTATGCCCCAATAGGTTCACCCCAGCAGCATCAATGTCACCCGGAAGTTTGCGCTTGTTGCTGGAACTCTTCGTCTTTGAAGTCCCGGCCCCTATCGCAGGCTGCCACTGAAGGATCATCAGCTCGGACTTTTTATAGGTGCGCCCGCCATCCCCATGAAGACTTAAAGGCACAAGGTGTTCTGTGTCCAGGTCATTCATTGCTGCAATAGGATGGGTGGCGAATTCCTTCTTGAAGTTGCACCAAAAATCCTTCAGTACTGCCGGCGCAGATGCCAGCTCCGTACCTACAACACAGTGGAAGCGATTCAAATCTGCCATAGTCTTTATAAAATCCTTTGGACAAAAGCACGGGTGTTGCTCCAGTGGGCCGTCTCCGATATTGACATATGTCCATGGTATTGCCACTAGAAGTTTCGTCTGCAGCAGAGCATTGTAGACACCCGACTCCTCGTGACCATCTGGGATAGCAGCTACAGCTTTGCAAGTAGCACACAACAGATCTCCATCCCGCTGGGAGGCTCTGGCTCTCTCGACAATGTCCTTCGCCGGGACCTGGGCGAGCAGTGTCTTAGGGTAGACAGGGCTTCTATAGGGTTTATAGGGTTTATAGGGCTTATAAGGGTTTATAAGGGCTTATAGGGTTTATAGGGTTCAGGGTTTATAGGGTTTAGCATTAGCAGTATTTTTTAAGTGGTATCCCCTGATTTCACCGGCGTTCCTAAAACTTGTGTCTTCTAGATTTACATGTACAAGATGGGGCCTTGATCAGATCAAAGGCACTCATGGTTTTGAAGGGGTCTTGTGTTTTATGAATTCAGCGGAACATTCTACATAGCTGAACGATATTAGTTCCTAGGGTTCTTGAGGTTTGAGGAGGACCGATCTTAAGTTAAACCCTTTTGCATACCCATGACCCCTAGTCCTCGTAATCCGGCACACAATGCACCCGTGTGCACGAATCCAACCCCCCGAGTTGAGGCTTTTGGGATGGCTGGGAATGTATTTTCTACACGACTTCGGGCTTCAGGTTGTGCACCGTCAACCAATCAAGTCCAGGATTCAATAGGAATCGGGATTGTTTTCATAATAGATATACTACGATCCTGTTATTAAGAGACCCTGAGGCTGCAAGACCATCTGTAGAAGAAACTTGACACTCGCACACACCTAAGACCCCAGCACCTTTGCCGTAGCTCCGCACGTAATCACGTGCTTTGTTGCTCGCCTCGCTGAGGCAATCCAAACCTGGCATACACGATACATTCCAGGGTTCACACACGAACTCGAGGACACAGTCACTCATGCTTCAACAGACATTGTGAAAGGACCATGCAGTCACCGCTGAATAACTGCATCAGCATACGGCACAGGCAGGTATTTTCGATTTGCAGACAGGATCCTGCTAACATCTGACGAAGCATCGCCCATGCTTTCGATCACACGGAGCCTCAAAACCCCTGATCAGTATCAGGTGTTGCAAAAGTTTTAGGCTTTTGCCTTGGTTTTAGCCTTGCCCTTGGCCTTTTTGGGCTGCTTAGGCGTCTCAGGTTTCTCCTTCTCGTCGGTATCCTTGCGCTTGAGGGACCTTGGGGGTTGAGCGGGAATTGTTTGTAAGGGTATATAGGGTCTATGCGTTTGAGGGTTTAGGATTCAGGGTGTCCAAAGGGTTTATGCGTTTGAGGGTTTAGGGTTCAGGGTGTCTAAAGGGTTTATATGGTTTGGGGTGTAGGTTCCCGAAAAACCCTAAAAAACTGTTTGGTAGACCCTCAATCCTCAAGCAAACAAAGAAAAACCCTTTGCAGCTATTGGTCAAGGTACTTGTTCTTGATCTCACAAGATACCGCGAGAACACACCTCAGCTGATGCATTTGTGCATGCTAGTACACATATATGCACATGCAAGTTTATGAGCAACCTATTGGCAACAACCATTGACCAGCTAAGAGTCTGCCGCTTTACAGCTTTGACCTTCTCGTCCAGCTGCTGCTGCAACCTAAGTCTATGAAAGCAAAAGAACTCGATCGGTTTTCTAGGCCCCTATCCTGCTAGTGCGACAGAGCAACTTCTCGTTCATACCATTAACCTTAACCTCAGCCTGGATCCCGGCGAGGTCGTCGTAGAGCTCGCTGAGCTTGCTCTGGCAATCCTCCATGCTGCTGATATCCCTGCGCTGCTGCACCGGCTGCTTCCCGGGACATTATAATCGGGTCGGAAGCTTTGGTTCGCATTAATGTGCAGGAAAGGATCTTTTTGTGGCCGTTCTCTTTCTTCAGCTTTGCAACGAGTTTGTCCAAACTCCTACGAGTCTGGATAGCCTCGTCCATAATCTTCGACACGACAAGCTCGCCCTGTAGAGGATGGTTCAACAAGTTAGAAAAACAACTTGTTCTGGAGACCTCATGCAACATAATGAAATTGCAGGCCTTGTCACTCTCCTTCTGGAGCCCCGGAGCCCCCGACCCTTGAACAGGAAGCTCACACATAGGATCATCATTGATTCCCGGCATAGCAAACCCATTCGCACCCGTAGTGTCAGCAGCACGGCTTTCCAGCACACCGTCGGTTTCCGAGTATCCACGGCTGCCTTCTGTCCTGAAATCGACCCAGTACTCCAGCTCCTCAGAGTCGTACTGGTTGGACCTGGGAAGGGTATCGTCTTTCCACATTAAAGTTCAGATTCAGGGCATTGGGATTTATATACGAGCACATTATAGGGTTTCGAAAGAGCCCCACTAAACCCTTATAATGATAACAGTAATTCTGGTTTCCCCTGAAAGTATATCGTTTTGAATGGATTGCCCGCTTGTGCGACTGAATACAAGGCCCCACACCAAACAAACCTCCAATCTTGTTATATATCTTTGCAACGGAGACAAGCCACCGAACATAGCCATGCTTCTCACAGAACTCCTTCACCTTCATCACTTTTCGCCTCAGCTAGCCAAAAAGCAGACGAGGTGTTCAGAACTGGGGTGGGTGGTAGGCCACGAAGACAGTCTAGTGCAACAGAAACACGCAGTGTAGGCCAATCCTCCCTCACTGACAGGCTTTTTCATATCCTGTTCGGAATACCAGCCGCCCCTTGTAGTAAGCTTCTTAAACTGCTCCGTCTTGCGCCACGATTCCACCTTGGACTGGAAATCGGCCTCACGGCATCTCTCTCTCTCTCTCTCTCTCTCTCTCTCTCTCTCTCTCTCTCTGACTCTCTCTCCCCCCTCTCACCCTCCCTCACTCTCTCTCTCGGTCTCTGTGTCTCTCTATCTCTCTGTCGCCCTGCCTTGTCACCATCTGCCTCAATCATCAGTTTGACGAGCTGGGTACGTTTGTACCCTTTCTGTTTCCAGTCCGCGACTAGTTCCGGGGCCCCAGATACTTTCCCACTCCCAGGAGTGGGAGTGCACATCCTTCTGATCTTAGCTTCCATTCGGGCATACAGTTTCTTGTACACTGCGCTCTGCTCTACCTCGTCCTCCTCATCCGGCTCTAGTGCGCCCGCAGTCGAGGAAGGCTCTGGCGGCTTTGCATCCTCCACGGGAGGCGGGCTCGTGCTTCGGGTCTGCACACTGCTGGCAAGTGATGTCACCGAATCGTTCCGGCTGGGTCGCGACTTCTCTTCCGAATCCTAGGTTCGTGCGGGATAAAGCACAAATTAAAGCCAGGGTCTCCGTAGCATACTTATGAATGCGACTGAAGAGCAATGCTCACAGCAGAGGGTGGTGCAAGCAGACTCGGCGTGCCCGGCATTGCCTTCTTCAGGTTCGCAATAATCTCGTAGAGCTGCTTCTCGCGGGCCTAGGCGAAGGTGGTGTTCTAAGTATGAGTGAGAACACTATTGCCACCACACTGCTTTGCAGTTATTGACATGCATATGGATGACCGGTTACACAGATTGTTACATCCACGAAAGAAGATCATTAATGGGTATGGTGGCATTGCCCATCTGTATCTTAAGCTGAGACATCGGCGGTTGTAGGAGCTGGCATCCCATCGAAATCCATCAGGACCTCCGTGTCGTAAGGATAGGACCCCGCAGTTGTACAAAAGAGGCCTGGCCTGCTTCTCCGCTGCTGGCACCACTGGGGCGGCCTCTCCGAAGCTTGGGATTTAGGGTTCTATCGAGATATACAATGCGGTTGGTAAACATGAGGGAACCTTTAATGCTGTATTCCGTTCGATTTGCAGGGTACCCAAGACTGTTTGAATTCGGTGTTGGGCCACATGCTTCAGTTCTTTCCTTTTCCTCTGAACTTCACAGACGGGATTTATGAGCTTCAATCCTAACCCCTAAACCCCTAAACCCCTAAAATCCTAAACCCCTAAACCCTAGAAATCCTAACCCCTAAACCTCTAAACCCTTAAACCCAAAACCCTAAACCCTTATAAACCCTGGAAATCCTAAAGGCCCAAGGC